AACAGTGGTTATGAGACCAGAAGGAAAAAAGGAAAAAAAGACAAAGATATTTCAAAAGAAAAAGATACACAAAATCAGAATATTACTTTGGATTGTGATGGAACAGTCAACAAAATAAAGAGTCCAGAAACAAAACAGAGAAAGCTTTCTCCCCTGAGATTATCAGTATCAAATAATCAGGTATCAAACTCTACTGATTCTTAATGAAGTTAATTTGTCATATTTTTGCCCTTTTTAAATGTAAAGTTTCTTAACAATTTTAAGTCCATTTTGATGTTTAGTGAAGTGTAAATACAAGTTCTGTTACTATATATGTAACATTTGTTAAAAATTATTAAGAGCTGGGCGTGTGATCCCAGCCGTTCAGGAGGATGAGGCAGGAGGAACCAAGGGCAGGCTGAGCAACTCGTCTTAAAACATAAAAAGGACTGGGGATGTGGCTTAGTGATTAAGCACCCCTGGGTTCAATCCCTGGTACTAAAAAAAGAAATAGCCAACAAATCACTACAGAATTGAAGATAAGATTTTTCCCAGACTAGAAAATTAGCGAATCCAGCTAGTGCTTTATGAGAATTTGGGCTTATACTTCTTTCCCATCAGGAAATATGTGTTATTGGCTCTCAAAATAGAGATTAGGTTAAGAAATGTTTTGCTCATTAAGGGGCCCTATATTCTAATAATTTTCCTTAAGTTTTAAATCGAAAATTTACCTAGTGCTTCATATTTGCAGGTTTTATGAAAATTTTGTTTTGGGAAGAAGCATGGACTATTCAGTATATGAATAGAACTTTAGAAAGCAAAATTATTTGATGGCATTCAAGAAAGCAGTTTTAAGATGGCTTGAAATTTTTATATTTAGTTGTGGTTAAAAGACTTTTAAACAGTTTGATGTCAAGAGTTTATAGATGGAGTAACAGTTTAAGTCATTTCCATCTTTCAGGAACCAGATTTTATTGATGATATAGAAGAAAAAACTCCTATTAGCAATGAAGTAGAAATGGAATCAGAGGAGCAGATTGCAGAAAGGAAAAGAAAGATGGTAAGTTGGGAAGCCATTAAGTTGCTTAATGTTATGGTATTGGCTTAGTGACAGCTACTCTTTCTGTTGTTGCCTTTCCATGGGGCTCTCACACTTTTCTTTGAAGTTAGCAAATTTGGGGCTCATGATGTGCCATTGAGCATTTTTATTTGGCTTTGTCATTACCATTTAAGTAAATTTCACTAATTCTTTGTATTTTTACTGGTGCTCCTTAGACATTTTAAAATGTATGGCCTTTTAGAAATTGTATGTTTTAGAAATCATTAATATTTTTGAGTCTGAGAACTATTAATAAATTTTAATATTGCAATTACTGTCCAAAATTTCTTTCATTAATGTATCCTTTATCTTAATAATTTGATATTTAACAATAGGTCTTTAAGCTTTATAATAGTACCAAATAAATGGCTTATGCAAAGCTAAAACAAAACCCACCACTGGTTTGGTAGCTACCTATTTCTGTTTTATACTGTTATAAAATAACATAAATAAGGTCTTCATTAAAATCAGTTTAGGATTTATATCCTTTGTACTATTTATTTGCAGTTATTTTGTCAGCATAAAAACTAGGACAAGAAATATCCTAAAAATTTAGTGGTAAATAGTTATCATTGTATACTTTTTAAGATTTGAAATTATACACACCAACTAATGATCTTCCCCATTCCATTTACTTGTCTTATTTAATGTTCTAGGGGTTTTCAATACTGATCTCCATGTAATCTCAGGTGTCACATGTTGGGGTGGGGTCTTTGTAGACTTGCTTACTGCACATGCATTCTGTCACCACAGTGGCCATCTTTCTGTGTTAATTCTGTGCTTTCTATTGTAAAAGCAACACAGAACTGTTTTCTAGCCTTGGAATTTTAGAATCACTTGTCTGTTGAGACTGGGTAGTATTAGAGATAGAAAAAAAATACAGGTGAAAATTTGGAGGCTGGTTATAAAGGAGGAGTTCCTATATCTAAGGTTATTTTGAATCTTTTAAAAATA